TAATTTTATCCTGATATAAATATGATCTAATATTTACAATAGCAAAATTTGATGAATACCTCCCTTCTGGTTTTTATTCCTTCATTTTCCCTGAAAAGTATACCCAAATGTTTGGCACATCCTCAAACTGCAGTGTTATGGAAGTTTATACCCCCTGCCCTCCCAAGCCTTGGCCGAGGGGGTCAATTAATATAGATACTCAGTGATGTCAATAGATTTTTAGTAACAGGAGATATTGTAAAAGTTATAGAACTAGACTCACAAGGCTAGTCTGTCGCAACTAAGTGGCCTTTACGGCGAGGGGTATGGAAGAAAATGGTGTAAAATCCTGTGTTCTGACTCTCTTCTGGCACCTGATTTCACTTATAAAAACTGCCGTATTTTAGTGAATTCTGAGGATTTATTTTCTAAAATATTGAAATTCAATGATAGATTTTGCTAATCACAGCACCCACATGGAGCAGATTAATTGCAATTAACATATCTAAATACATTTTTTTTTATACACAAAAAGACAACTTTTACATCCGATACTTGATATTGACTGTCTCCATTTAGACTGCTGTGTTTTTACTGTTTCTGAAATTTGGTTTGTTATCTGCTCTAAATCTTTTGACTTTTTCTTTTTTCTAACCTTTCAAGTATCAAGCATTATAATACTGATGAGGCGCAAGTCGCGAATCGTATAGAAATGTGCATGTACCATTAAAACGTTTAAACCCACTGCAATTGTTTGCACCTGTCCTAAGTCAGGAATCTGATGTTCATTTCAGCTGGAAAAAATACAATCTTAACAGGGCTATTTATACGAAATTTTGTTTAAAAAATGTGATGTGTTAATCAAGTGCTAGTATAAGCCGTGTCACATTGTTGAGACTCACGGTTTTAGGGGGCGTATGACATTTGCGCCGATTTTATAAATTTTCAATCTTTCATTTGCGCCGATTTGGTTGTTTCATTTGCGCCGATTCAATAATTTCAAGTTCCATTTGCTCCTTTTTGCATTTTAGTGCTGTGCTTTTTTCATGGCGTAAAGAGGTTTTATTGTCCTTTGATATTTTAAAGGCTGTAAATAGATTTTTATATCATTTGATATTTTATTGCTATACTCAGTTATTTTAGTGGATGTAAACAGAGTGCTTTTAACCTTAAAATTGACTTGTTTTGCTCGAAGTCCTACTTCCACCTCCCCATTGTGGGCAGGGGGCGACATTTATATGCATGTTTTAATTGATAAATCATAACATATGTAAAACTGGCTAGCGGAAGAGGTTTTTAATGATAAATAAAAATAGTTTTCACCTGTAATTTACCTGCAAAACAATCGGCGCAAATGAAAGAAATAATCGTTGCAAATGAAAGAAAAAATCGGCGCAAGTGAAATGCAGATCGGCACAAATGCAAAACACCGGTTTGACGGTCTGAATGGCGGTCCTTCATTTCTGTATTCTTTAATTTATTAGGCCATTTTTCTCTATTCTTTATACTTTTTGCCCATTATTCTCTATTCTCTATATTTTAGCACCTCATTGTTCTCTATTCTTCATTTTTTTTTTGGTCCATTTTTCATATTTTTTGCCAATTATTCTTTATTCTGTAAACCTCCATCCACACCCTCCTGTTTGAGTTAAAAGTGTTTTTGTTGTTAAAAAGGGAACTCTTATCTTTTTTACACAGAAAAATCACCTTTACCTCATATAGAGTAAACAAAAACTCTCAACATTGTGACTGAAATATTCATTTAATTCATATTGAAATTTCGAATTTACTGCTAAGAATTAACTATACCGGCAATACTATTTGCAAATTTCGAACGTGGTAATAGTGAGATAAATAATAACATTATGAAACATTACGTTGATACACTTGTTTGATGGGTAATACTGTATACATATCATGGCATATGTAAGTCGGCAAAAAGTTAAAATAAAAAACTTGTTTGTCTAATCAGAATGAATAATATTTTTCAGTCTGATTATGTTGATATCAGTATTTCATTTCGACCCAAACTGCAGTTGCGGAGCCAGGATTTTGAAAAGGGGGAGCACCATGGCAACGTTAGAAGTAGGGTTTTATAAAGTCTATGCATTAACCATATATGTAGCTCGGATTCTATATTAAGGGTCGCTCCCCTCTAAACCCGCCTCTGTTTTAACATTATCAGTGAGTCGAAGAAGTCAAAATATGACCGACTCGCCTATTTTATACATTGCAAGTCAATTTGATCATTTTAATGCCGGATTCGTCTTCCTCATAAAATCTTGTCAGGCACTATAGTCTGTCAGAGAAAAGTAATTATGACTTAAATTGCAGGAATTGCACATTAAGGAACTATTCCTTAATGTGCAATCAGGCATGTCATCATTTCTTTATGACATGCCTGATATACCATAATTTAACTAAAAGATCACAGTTTTACAATAAATTAAAGAAAAGTCAGCACTTTTGTATCAGAAAAGCACACCAAGAAGTCCAAGTATATATACAGTGGTTTACTAGGAACGACATTAATATGATAGGATGGTATACATAGACCAGTTTAAATATTTCTATACAAAATGCACTATGCCCGACGCGCTAGACCACTCGACCACCTAGGCTCTATAAAATTAACCTTTCTGTGGCCTGGTGTTACCTTTCCTCGTCAGTTTTTATCTAGCGTCGTAACACAGTACATGATATATAAGGCATGAAGATTGAATTGTTACAGATCAGCTGAATTATCTATTGTAAAGGATCCTACAAATTAATGTAAGATGCAGTCACAGAAATAATTATATTATAAGTACGTCTAAACCAGTGACGACTCTACGACAGATTTTATCTATCGGTGATACAAGGCTGAAAATACATTCTGTATATATAATTCGTCTAAACAACAGCCCAATAATGTTAGATCAGTAAATTTTGTTCTTCCCTGGCCGGGATTCGAACTCATGCTACTGAGATATCGTGGCACCAAATCGCCTTGCACTATGACCGACGCGCTAGACCACTCGACCACCTAGGCTCTATAGCTTTCGGTGGCCGGGTGTTACCTTTCCTCGTCAGTTTTTATCTAGCGTCGTAACAAAGTACATGATATATAAGGCATGAATATATATATATATACAAATCTAAATTCAAAACAACGTTCAAACCTATGATTGCGTTGGATATAAACCGCAATTTTTATACGTGTGCATGCAATACAAATTTCTGGGTAGATATATAGGCAACCGTACGGACTTCAACCGTGAAAGAGAAAAACCCATACCGTAAATTTGGCTATAAAAGGCTCCGACAGGAAAAATATGAAACAACTCAATTGAAAAAAAAAAATAACGGCATAATTTAAAACAAAACAATTTACGAAAAACAAATATGACAGACATGAACCAATGACAAATACTATACTGAACTACAGGCTCCTGACTTGGGACAGGCATATAAAGAATCTGGCGGGGTTAAACCTGTTTGCAGTAAGAGCCCCCTCACCCTTTTTACCTGGGACAGTGGTGTAACAGCACAACATAAGAACAAACTATAAAAATCAGTTGAAAATGGCTTAACTCGCCAAATCGACACAAAGCAGAAAAACATCTAACAAAAACACAGACCGGACGTGGCAGGGTACTTATACATCCCTAACAACAAAAGACACACAGCTCATCCTAACCTTTTTAATGTCTTGTTCCGTTAAAAAAGAATTTTGAAACTTTCTGTTTTCTCATTTGTCAAAAAGAACTTTTTATAATAAAATGCATGACACCAAAGAAAACAGTGTTTGTTCGTTTGTTTGTTATTAGTAGTATCATTCTGTGTACATTGCCATTTTTTTCTTTCTTAAATTAAATCGAGGATTTTGATAGTAAAATACGAACCCTAGCTTGCTTTGATATATTTTATATCTATTGGCTCGGATAGGGTACCATGTCTCCAAGAATTCTAACATTTATGTTATCTTTTAAACTGAGTGTTTGGTAGATTGATTGATTGGTTGATTGATTAATTGGTTGATTGATTAATGGATATATTTATGTTAAACGTCACTTTTAGTTATATCGTGGCGGTCAGCTTTTCTTGCGGGGTTCGACTCACAACCTTAGAGTTGACAGGCTAGTGATACATTTTAATGCATGCAAATTTGTGGACTCACAGAAATTTCTGACTACTTTCGTAACCATCTATAACATCTTCGCAGAAATGTTGCATCTGGTTTTTTTGAATGTTCCATGTTTTAACTGTACATCATTCAATCGAAAAGAAATCATTTGACTTGTTTGTAGATCTTATATTTTGGCAATGTTTGCTTTTCAAAGCTTCTTAAGTTTCGAGATATTGTGTATAGACGCTAAAATTTGTAAAAATCTGATTTTATTAAAGGTCAATAGTCGACTGACGATTTCGGTCATTTGACTTGTTGGTAGATCATGTCTTGTTGATCATTGTTGGTCTTAAAGTTTTTCTCTCTACCTTAATTTTCGCCAAAATAGGGAAAAATTGTCATAAAAGGGCACTAACTCCTATACTGAGCCGACAGACGATTTCGATCGCATTGATTTATTTGTATAAGTTATCTTGCTGACCATTATCGTAATTTCTAAGGAAGCTATAATAGACACGTCATTAAAGAGGGTCGTATTGGGGGTACCTTCATGACGAATAACGGTAAAATTTTAACCAATTTGACGCTAACGGTAGCCGAAAATGACCGTTTGACGCCTGACGGTAAAGGCCATTCCTACCCTCATTAAAGGACACTGAAATCAATACTATTAAATTTAGTAAAAAGATCAAGTTAAATATTGACATTCTAGATTTTTTGTCCCTTACAGATTTTCTCGGTCTTTATATTTTTTTTTTTTTAAAGTTAATGGACGACAGACGACGGACGCCACGTGAAAAGAAAATATCATTCTGTTTGTCACAAGAACATTGCAACCAATCATATGACTGATCGGTTTTTGGTTTGATCATAACAACAGGTGTTTTTTTCAAATTCTTATGCGGCCCATCGACCTGATACACAGTCACGTGATTATCTTCCATTATGATAAGTCGAAAGCAATTTTTTGCAAAATTTGATAAAATTTAGGGCCCAAAGGGTATTAAAATGCCCGGGCCAGTCGAAAGATGGTTAGAGACATTTATGTGTAAACAATATGCTGATACATTTGAAGCCTATGGATTCAAAACTCTTCAGTCTGTAAGTAACACCACAAAATAATTTGCAAAATGGCTTCCTCAAGGCAAATCTTTTGAAATGTGGTTCTGATACTGTTGATATGTTTACAGGTATGCCAGCTTCAACAGCCACAGCTGCAGGCTATGGGAGTGGCACAAGAACATGTAGACAAAATACTGGAGAGTGTCCATGTTCTCAGACAGAGTATGTTTGGTAAGTACAGTTGACACACATGTGTATCTTTAAAGTTTAACTTACACAGTAGTGTTTAGATAATAATCTAAAGAAAAATAGCATGTCATTGTGTCATGCTGTTTTTCTGATGCCACATTCTTGTTTTCCATGGGGATTGTGAAGCATCATTTTGCTTTTGTTTTGTTTTTGTTTTGTTTTTTTATTTAAGACTGATGTGTTTCAAACTTCCCAACCATTTTCATTAATCCATTTGTTTAAAATTCTGGACAATTGAGGGTTAATTGCATGTCATACCTGTTCATCAGTTGATTGTATAATAATAACATATATAATGATTACATAACAGGAGTGACAGGTAATCCTTGCTAGTTCATTGACCTCATCGCACAACAGATGACCATGCTGTTGGCTAAATGACTGTGAAATTTACTAATTATATTTGTTTAAAAATAATTTTAAGCTATTAAGAAATTAATTACTTAAAATTATTGCTAAGCAGAGGAGATTAAAAAACAAATGAATCTGTCTTATTTGAAAAAAGTATATGTGGAGTTATTTCCCTTTAAAATCAGTGTTATCTTACAATTTAAACGTTTTGACACAATTATTGTACATAGTATTACAACCATCAAATCTACCAGAAATGAACATTTTAATGGAGGCTGTAAGGAAGAATGACTTTGTCGACTATTGTGTAAATATTTTAGTTAGTTAATCCTTGTACATACATGTATATATATATTTATTAGGAAAGCTATCTATTAACATCAGGAGTAACAAATAGTTGTGCTTTCATCACAGTTTTAAAATATTTCATGCAAATACAGCTTTACAGTTGTAATAATTATCATGCATCACACTGTCTCCCGGTTTCTCCATTTATAAACTGTCTATAATAGCTAATCATTAAATGAAGTTCAAATTTGTCAAAGTTGTGATCAATGTTTAATATCCTCTGCTACAACTTCTGCTTCAGGTTATATATACTTGATTTGAAAAGACAGTCTTAATCTAAAAATAACAAGGTTAAGATGAAGATGTAAGGTATAACATACTATTTCTTTATCTCTAAATTGTTTCACATTTTTGATGTCAGGGCCTTTTATTTTAAACTTTAAATAAAAACATAAGGCAACACTTAAAAATATTTTAGTTTGCCCGAACCCTACCCAAAGGTAGAGACAGTGGTTAGGTAGGTAGGCATTTTCTTTTTTTTCGGCAAAGAGAAATTGAAGTGTCAGTTGTTTTTTTAGTCCATGTCTATCTGATTAAAAAAAAACTTTTTCACATCAGGACAATAAAAAATTTTGAGGAGGCAGCTATTTTCTGGGTGGGTAGGGTTAGGACAAACAAACATATTCTTTTTTATGGCCTATCATGGACATAGATTTATATTTAAATATATGATGTACATTTTCTTATACATGTGTACTTAAACTTAGGTAGTTGAAAACTCTGAAAATGCATTAGAATATATATACAATGTATAATTAACTTATGCTTTACAACTTGTTATTTAAGGATTAAAGCGATACTTATTTTGTTATGTGTTGATTTATTATAACAAAAGCAATGTCGGTACTGAAACAAATAATATTCAAAGATCTTACTACAATGTTGAATTGAAAACCTTTAAGAATAAAGATCCCTATTCTGTATTCATTTTGTGATTACTAGGTCAACAGTCAAAGCTACTAAGAATACTCAATGTGGACTGAAATAGTGAAATAAGTTTAGCAAAGGGGTTTAACCTAATAACCTTAAGGCAAAAAAAAATATATGTCTGTTTACAGTTACCCGACTGACCCTACTTTTGAGCACCGACCCTAAGTTATTTTATTTCTGTCGTAAAGTGGAAAATTAACTGAACTCGTGTCAAAAGCGAAGTTAGAGTTGCCAATATAATAAATCAATTGCCTGATACGTCTAATGTTCAAAATCGTGAATATGACAGCTGTTTTAAGGAAACTTGTGACTCGTGTGATGAAATAAACATTTTTAAGGCCAACCTTAAAAATATGTTTGTTTGCAGTTTTCCGACTGTACCTTCAGACTGAAGGGTCGGTAGGTAGGAAAAATATTTTATTTTATCAGCCAAAATGAAGTTTATACAAGCAGTTACACAAACCAAGTTTCTTGTGAAGAAATTTTTTTTTAAAACAACACTGAAAACCAACATGAAATGAACAGGCATTTTCAGATAAAAACTTTTCAACCAAAATTGAAACTATAACATGGTGTGATTATCCAATTTATGACATTATTAAATACTAGTACTGGAACACTTCTAAGATCTTATAAACAAGGAATGACTAGAATTGTTTTAAAGAAATTGTTCACTGACATATGCTTCTTTACTAGAAAGTTTTCATGAGTAGAGTATTTTCATTAGGAAAGTGTAGATATCAAATATTCATAAGACAATGTAAGAGTGTTATCAATAAAAAAAATTAACCATTGATTCTTTCTCAATTAAAAAAAAAAGGAAACTTGAAAAAATATATTTGACATCTGACTGTTTTCATAAATCTAACAATATTTAATTATATGTAATAAGGTTATATTTTGAAAGATATGTTGATGTGATCAGGCTTTAATTAAAACGAAAAAAAATCTTGGACTTCAGGGTGAAATCAATAGCACCCCTTTAAAAGTAAATAATCTGTGCTGAAATGTTTTGACTGCATAAAAAAATTGGCAGCATAGCTCCTAAGGACATGTTATAATTCAATTCACACAAGCCACACTGTTTGGGTATATTTAATATTGTAAGAGGGAGAAGAATTGCAATGAGTGGGGTAGCTCCCCTTATCCTAAAGGAGCATACTCATTGCAATAGAAGATAGATTTAACATAGAGAAAGTATATTTATTTTTACAAGTCATTTTCTTTACATCTTTGTGTAGTTTCTGTGGCTTCTTATAGATTTGGCATTGTCAATCGATTATAAATTTCAAATGCGCCCTTCCTGTCGTGTTTACAGGTATCCATGAAGTCATGGATAAGTGGTTTCATCCTTGTTGTCTTCACAACGTTTTATAGAAACTATGGCATACTTCAGGCTGCTGTCAAATTGTTTAACCACTGATATTGGTTCCATAAAGTCAGGCTCAAGAGATTCTGTACCCGATCTGTTTGAGATGGAAACCGTTATCGCGTCGGTTTTATGAATATCCGCTGCATCATGCGTTCTCAAATCGTCAATGATATCTGTCTGAATCTGTATAAACAGTTTACTATTAAACTTTTTTGGTTGTTATTTGTTTTAAAATTGACAGAAAACGACAGCGCAAAGTACTCATCCATGTCTTCATCGATACCTGTAAACAATCTCCATGTGCTTTATTATTAAACGGTCCGATGTACGCTTGACAAGAAGGTAAGATAAACCGAATTTGAAACGTGTAATCGTCCCAGACTTTAAATCAATTCCGGAAACGACCAGAAGTTCCGGATTGCGTCAATAGAAAAATAAAAATAATTTCTTCAAATTAAAAGCAATAAAATTTTCACAGTCGGGCGGATTTTCGAGGGTCGGTCGGTAAACTGCAAACAAACAATATTTTAATTTAAGCCTAACTAATTAGTTTTGTTATTGTAAAGGCAAACTAAATAATTGATAGTTAAAAATTATAAAACCTAAAAATCCGACGCTGAAAGTATATTAAGCGAAAAAATCAATAGGGATCTCACACAGTTTTTATGTTACTGTATACACACACAATTTGTTTTCAATGTCTTGTTCACCGATTTGACTCAAATTCTCATATTTGATATATAACATACTATATAAACATAAATGCAAATTACAAAAACTCTAAAATAAATGATTATCAATCATGACAATGCAAAGACTTGATAATGTGTATCAGCATTTCATGTGTATTTTAGTCTAGATGCCATTTAATTAACCAACAAGATGACCTCCGAAGACTGCCTAAGTTCATATAACCCGATATTAACATAAATAAAAATAGATGGGGAGCACATGCTATTCTAGGTCTGTTTGATTTCATATTATAGGTTAAAAAAATATATAAATCATCGTTTTTACCTGTATAAGAATGATTTTTTGTGGATTGAATCAGTCAACCAAATGGTTCACTTTCAATGTTGACATTATTTTCTATTTAATAGCTAAACAAGCTGAGTATATGAGTAACTTATCTCCAACTAAGGGGTTAAATTGAAGGTCACATGAATACGTATTCAATGAGGTAAAATTATTAACTTGCATATGAATAATACATCAGCGATGTTTCTGATCTAATTTTGACAAATTTGGGCCAAACTGACTACTTATAAAGATTAAAAGAACTACTATTTCAAAATTCCGCTATTATTAATACTTGAAACATAAAGAAACATATTTTAGATTTTTGTCTAAATTGTAGCTAATGCCCCTTGAAGTAGGATAACATTATAAAATGAAATTAGATACAAAATCATTTTTATACGACCGCAAAAAATTTTTGCTGTCATATATTGGTATGACGTCGGCGTCGTCGTCGTCGTCCGAAGACACATTGGTTTTCGCACAATAACTTAAGTTTAAGTGAATGGATCTCTATGAAATTTAACCATAAGGTTCAATACCACAAAAGGAAGGTTGGGATTGATTTTGGGGGTTATGCTACCAACAGTAAAAATAAGCATTTTTCTTGTTTCCAGACAATAACTTGTGGAACGGTGTATGGATCTCTCTGAAATTATACCACAAAGGGATGGTTAGAATTTGCTTTGGGGGGGGGGGTTATGGCTCAAACCGTTTAGGAATTAGGGGCAAAAAAGGGGGAAAACAAGGGTGTCCTGGTTAATGGACAAATACTTTAGTTCAAAACATAATTTAAAGCAGTGTAAGGGAGGTAATTCAAATACATCAAGGAATTAGGGGCCAAAAATAAGCATTTTTCTTGTTTCCAGACAATAACTTGTTGAATGGTGTATGGATCTCTGAAATTATACCACAAGTTTCCATACCACAAAGGGATGGTTAGGATTTGCTTTGGGAGGGTTAT